CTACTTGTGACCTGAAGTGTCGAGGCCAGCGATTTTTAACTGTGCTGCAAGAATTTTTAAAACATGCAATACCTGACTATTAGTCATGGGCACTGACCTCTTTTCCCTTAGATTGTCAAATAAAGTAAAAAAAAATGACAGCATCCAACACAATAGCCATCCAATGTAAATGGATCAAAATTATACCTATTTTTGGTCAGATGGGCAAAAAAAAAAAAAAAAATGTGATCCTGTGCCACAGGACTTTGGATAAAGAAGATGGAAAATGCCTGGTCTAAAAAAAAGATGAAAGGCACTGTGCAGAAAGGACTGAAGATGAAAAAGGAATTAAATTCACTAACTTGATGATAATGCCAGAGAGGAAGGCAAAATGAAGTCAGCTCTCAATTGATAACAGGGATTGAAAGAAACACATAATTGCAAAAAACAAATCATTCCAAAAAATTAAAATGTCTTTATATTTGCCTTAGATGCTGACTTGAGACTAAAGCAACAGGGTAAAGACGATGGCTTTTGTGGGCATCACATCCTTATCTTCCACGTGGAAGCTCTGGATTAGATTAGGGAAATCAAATGCAAATCTTCCTCTGGTCTTCCCCTCCAGCACCCTGGCAAGCAACAGCCCACGGGATTTCCTCGATGAGACCAAATGGAGCCTGGTGACCCTTCTCTCCACAGCGGAATAACAAATCTGTGTTTCTCGCCGGGACCGGTTTGGCTCAATGGATAGAGCGTCGGCTTGGGGACTAAAGGGTCTCGGGTTCGATTCCGGTCAAGTGTGGCCCACCGCCCCCCACTTGACACATAACTGCTCTTTAACTGCTTTTTGTAGAAAGTTAGAGAACTTATTCACCAGGGCTCACATGATTTAGCCCGGCCGTCAAACCCTTTGTTGCAAACTGAAACCAATTTGCTCTTCTCAGTTTGTTTTTTTCTTTCAATTTCTCTCTTCTCAGTTTTGATATTACATTTCATGTCTTCCTGAAATAGAGTTCTATTTTCGCATAACAGCAGTTGTCAATATAATTTTAAAATGTTTTATTTGGAAATGTCTTACCTTTAAAAAAACCACAAAACACATATACTTTTTATTGATTTCAGAGAGAATGAGCAAGGGAGAAAGAGATAGAAACATCAATGATGAGAGAGAATCACTGACTGACTGTCTCCTTCACGTCCCCTACTGCGGATCAAGCCCACATCTTGGGCCTGTGCCCTGACCGGGAACCGAACAGTGACCTCCTGGTCATAGGTCAATGCTCAACCACTGAGCTATGCCGGCCGGGCTACATCATGTGATTTCTAAAAAATTACAGGAAAAGCCTGGCCAATGGTTGGTGTGGGTCAACGGTTGAGTGTTGGTCCATGCACCAGGAGGCCACCATTACAATTCCCTAGGTTGCAGGCTTAATCCTCAGTAGGGGGCTGTAGGAGGCAGCTGATTGATGTTTCAATCTCTCTCTTCCTCTCCCATTCTCTCTCTGAAATCCATATTAAAAAACATTACGCCGAAACCGGTTTGGCTCAATGGATAGAGTGTCGGCTTGGGGACTGAAAGGTCCTGGGTTCATTTCTGGTCAAGGGCGTGTACCTTGGTTGTGGGCATATCCCCAGTGGGGGGTGTGCAGGAGGCAGCTGATCGATGACGTTCTCTCATTGATGTTTCTGACTCTCTATCTCTCTCCCTTCCTCTCTGTACAAAATCAATAATATATATTTAATAAAATAAAAAATAAAATCAATAAAAATATATTTTAAAAAACACACATTAAAATACACAAAATGCGGGGGGGGGGGTGTGTGAAACTACAGGAGAGTAATGCAGCCCACCACAGCACCAGAACACATACAACTTCCTGTTGTTTTTTGTGGCTTTTCACCCACAAAAATGCTGTGTCTGAGTTTCTGTGGCCCCCCCCCCCACTTGACACATAACTGCTCTTTAACTGCTTTTTGTAGAAAGTTAGAGAACTTATTCACCAGGGCTCAAGGGACTAAGGGAGGTGGGAAGGCTGAGTCTAGCAAAGATCAGCACTTTGGAGGTTGGGTGAGAAGATTGGGATATAGAGAGCCACCAGATGTCACACAGCAAATTCAACTCATGGAAAACCCGGTGGGGGGGATTTCAAAGAGGGGGGATTGGTCAACTAAGAGACTGAGAGGAGCTGGGAGAACCCACAGCATTGAAAGCTATTATTTATTGAGCACCTACTGTATGCCAGGGACTGTGTGGGCTATTGAGGGGAACAAGGACTACAATAGAGGGAGGGAGGCAGCCTCAGGAGAGTGGAAAGGACCTCCCTGACAGAGGGAACAGCATGGGCAAAGGCCCTGAGATGGGAGAGGCTTGGCAGGCAGCTAAAGAATGTTGTCCAGGAGGGGGCTCTGCAGGGACCTACGATGCAGGCAGAGCCTTACAGGCCAGGGTTGGGGTTCATTCACACTGGGTGCACAGGAGATTTTCAGGCCGGGATTATTTCATTTTTTTAACAATGAAATCATCTAGAGCTTGGCTACTGGACTGAAATAGCTTAAAAGAGGCAAGACTGGGAAAGAGCTAGATGACCTCAAGGGATTGGTGGGCCACAAAGCTCCTGGTGGCTTTAGCACAGGGCGGCAGTTTTATTCTGTTGGAAGAAATAAGTGGGAGGCCATGAGGAGAGGTCAGTGGAGGTTTGATTCAGGGTCACTTGGGAAATTCAGGGACAGGGTTTGAAAGAACAAGAATGGTGACTGATGCCTGGTCGGTGTGGCTCAGAAGTTGACTCATGAACCAAGAGGTTGTCTGTTCAATTCCCAGTTAAGGCACATGCCCAGGTTGCAGGCTCCATCCCCAACAGGAAGTGTGCAAGAGGCAGGTGATCAATGTTTCCTTCTCACGATGTTTCTATCTCACCATTCCTCTCTCTCTAAAACAATCCATAAATCTCTAAAAGAGCCCAGCTGGCAGGTTGGCGTGGCTCAATGGTTGAGCATCGACCTATGAAGCAGGAGGTCAAGGTTCGATTCCTGGTCAGGGCACATGCCTGGGTTGTGGGCTGGATCCACAGGAGGGGGTGTGCAGGAGGCAGCCGATCAATAATTCTCTCATCATGGATGTTTTTACCTCTTTCTCTCTCTCCCTTCCTTTCTAAAATCAATAAAAACATATTTAAAAAAGAAGAGGAAGAAGAAGAAGAAGAAGAAACATAAAGAAAAGAAAGAAAAAAAAAAAGGCTCCTGGGACATGACGTGAGGATATGGCCCAGGTTAAGTGAAGGCTGGTCAGGACCTGCAGTGGGCAGCCCCTGTAGGTGGGGGGATTCAGGCCAGAGACGGGCCTTATAGTGTGAAGGCATGCCAGAGGGGTCCCTGGAAGTGAAGGAGGATAGGATGTGAGCACCAGTGGGGCTCTGCTCAAAGGAACCCTCAGCTGGGGCCTCCTTCCTTAGGAAGGTAGGGGCCAGGCCAAAGGTAAGGAAGATCCTTGCCACTAGTGCCCTCCCCTCCTGGGGCAGGGTCCCTCAGGATTATCGGGACCAGCGGGAAGCTACTGAAAGGGTCTGGGTCCAGCCATTGCTCCTTTTGCAGGACTGACAGCTGGCCCTGGTGGGGAGTTCCTTCTAGGAATCAAGATTTCCTTCCTACCGTCCAAAGGGTCTGAAGCTGGCAGAAGAGGGTGCAGGACACTGACCCACAGAAATGTCCCCATCCTGCAGGTCTCCTGGCTCCCAACCCCTCCCCACAACCACCTTGGAGTGTTTGCTCTTCATCAGGCCCACTTCCTCCCTTTTCTTCCTGCTTCAGGTCAAAGCCCCACCTTCATCTCATCTCAGCAGCTGCTATTTGCTGCCAATCACCCCTGAGTGCAAAGCTGGTCTTCATGCATCTGCCTGGAGCAGGGAGTCAGGGCTGGGGGGTGGGAGGCATTTGGCCTCACAGATGGTGAGCTGCGCTGGCCCTCTCAGGCCTCAGGCCTTGCTCCAGGCTCCCCCAGTCTCTGCATTTGCAGTGCCAGGTGAGGTGGCCAGCCCAGAGATCAGATGGCTGTCCCCTGCCTACTCTGCCTTCCTTCTAGGCTCACATGGAAGTGCACTCTGCTCGCTCCCTACTGCCACCACTGCCCCAGTCCCTGGGCCTCTGATCTTGGAAGAAATGTGAAGGAGTTTGAGAGGCCCAGCCCAGCCCCAGTGATGAAGGCCCAAAGAGGGTGGTCAGGAAAAGCAAAGGGACCAAAGCCCCTCAGGCCTGAGCTCCTGGTGTTCAGGAAGATGCAGCTATTGAGCACTTACTGTGTGCCAGGCACTGCAGGAAGCTGTGCACAGGCTGAAATCCAGCCGCTCATGGTAAGTCCGCGGCCAATGTGACCAGTGCCCTATTTACAGATTAGAGAGGTCAGGTGGACTCTGTACCTAGTTAATCACTGTTCCTAATGCACATTCAGGAAATCACTTGCCCTTTCTTAGTTATCTGGTCCTGCAAGAACTATTTATCTAGATACTCCCAATCTATAAGGATCATAAACCAAGGATGTAACAGCTTAACTAGAGGGAGGTCACTGGCTCCATCCACGATGGACATTAGATACAATCTAAGTTAACCCAAGTTCTTTTTTTTTCAGCAGAGCCAAGATCCAGGCCCAGGTCCATCTGATTGTTGCACAGAGCATCCTTTCCTCCTCACCTCCACCCTCATCCAGACAGGCACTCAATTTGGTTCAATCAACTTTTGAATCAAATCACCTTTATTGTTGAAAGTATGACAGATCTCCCTTTTTCCCCATTGACCTCCTCCACCCCACTCGTGCCCCCTCCCAAGGCCAACCAACTTTTATTAAAACGCCATAGCAAGAGAAGGAAACCCTGGCAAGCTGGGTGGAGAGGCTGTGAACAGGGTGGAAGTGAGGGAGGTTGTGGAGGATGGGTCAGGGGTGAGCAGGAAAGCAAATATTCTATCTGGGAAGCAAGGAATCAAAGGGCTGGGAGGTGTGGCTGAGCTCCTTCAGGACCTCATGGGACTCCTTAGGCCTGGCATAAACTTGAGAAACACTTTGCCACACTAGAGAAGAAACTCTCAATCACACTCCAGACGGTCTTCATCACTTTGACAAAGGAGGCAAAAACCGAGGCCAGCACATCCTTCCACTTCTTCTTCTGTCGACTTAGCATCTCTCGGAACAACCTCAGTACCCGTTCCCCAAAGCTCTCCTCAGGCTTCTGGGCCCCTGTGAGAGAGACTAGTTAGCAAGCCAGGGCAAGTGGAATAGGGAAGCTGAGACAGATGGTTAAACGACCGAGCCTTTATACCCATCTAGTACATTGCAAAATCCATCTTCCCTAACCAGGAACACAAGAGTAAATGGTTTAGAGCATCATCCTGTACATCAACACAGGTTGTGGGTTTGATTCCTACTTAGAGCACATACCTAGCTTGCAGGTTCAATCCTTGTTCAAAGCAAATACAAGAAGCAACTAATTAATGTTTCTCTCTCACATAGATGGTTCTCTCCTTCTCTCTCTCTCTGACTCTCTCTCTCTCCACCCCTTACTCTATCTAAAGTCAACATACATCCTCAGGTGAGGATTAAAAATAAATAAATATAAACACTGAGTGGCTCATACTTCTCCCAAAACAGGGAGATAGATAGCAGAATCCAGTTAGTGCCAACCACACCCGAACCCAGATAACGTAAAGGAACACATCTCATTTTGGCAGAGCAGCATAAAGCTGGTGAATATTCTATTGAGATCCTTCCCCAAGAACTCCAGCCTTTAAACCCCTCAAGACAAAGGAGCCAGGAGCAAGCCCACACCTTTCTTCCCTTTCAGGCATGCATCGCCTAAACTCTGGGTCGCTGGGAGACTTGCAACCAGAGGAGCAATGGGCAGCAGCAGCTCGTCTGGACTGACCCCCCCAAACCTGTCTCCAAGGCCCCCTTTTCTCTGAATTTCCAGTGAGCCAAAGCAGCCGCGCTGAGGCTCTCTGCTGGTGCTGCTTCCATCCTAAGCCCTCCTCTTTTCACCGTCCCCAGCGTTAATAAACATCCTCTCAAAATCACCTGTACTTCCGTTGTGCGATCCTTCAGGCTCAGAGTCCTGCTCCGGGACTGGTTCCTGTCCAGGGAGGACTTCACTACGGATTCTGTTACGCAGTTCCTGCTGCAGTTCCGGAAGTAAGGGAGCACATTCCTGTGGGGATGGGGCATGTGTAGGATCCGAATGGGTCCTGCAGAGGCTCACACATGGAGCTGCCTGCTTTCCTGCCTGCAGTCCACAAAGACCGCTTGCGGAGGTTCAGGCCGCAATTCCCCTTTGCAGCTAAACCACCATGGTATTACCTGCTTGTTGGCTGACTGGCCCCAGGGGGTGCCCCATTAATGCATGAAATTGAGGACAGGGATTTGGTCATTGTGTGCTGTGTGGGGAGGTCATGAGATGGTGCCAGCCACCCCTCCACCCCACCACTCCACTTACCCCACCCCACTCAGGGGCTGTGTGTGCACGAGGCAGCGCCAACATTAAAAGAGATTGGGGTGAAGGGGAAGCACAGAGGGCTGCGACAGGTGCCTCAGACTCACCTGGTTGTCCTCACAGTGAGCAATTGCAATATCAGTCAAGGTGTCGTCGAAGCGGTCCTGAAGAGAGGAAGGTGGGAGGCTGCAGACCTGCTCCTGACATCCCCAGCCAGAGGTCTGTAGTCCCCACTGTGACCTCCACGGGAGCCAAAGCTCACCCCAATAACCTGGCCCAGCCAAACTTCTGGGGACTAAGCTTTGGGGGAAGGGCGAGGCCAAAACTCACCTCCAGCTTTTTTATGCCTTTTTGGACCTGTTGGGAAAAAATTCCTTCATTTAAATTCCTGCGGCCTCCCTCACTTTCAGTCTTATTCCCTGTTCTCAGCTCGCTGTCTCTCCATAACTGGTCATCCATGTGCCTGGGGCCATGCTCTGTCATCAGTATACCTGTGACTTGGACACCTCTCAGGCTCCCTGGGCCTTCCTATCCCCCACCTGTGTATTCACCTGCCACACAGGTGTGAATTTTGTCCAGCATAAGGAATGAGCCAACCTGAGGTGGCACCTTCATCATCATTGTCGTCGTCATCATCATCATCATTGTGATACCATCCCACCCAAATTGTGCAGAGCACAGGAGTGGAAACCCTGACCCACCTGGTTCTCTTCTTCGGGATTGACTTCATCCAAGAATATGTCTATAGCCTTGTGCTGGAAAAACAGAGTTGGGACAAAGAGATCTGATCCTTCTCCTTCCTGGATCCCAGGAAGGCCAGAACATTCTTACCCTCCCACAGTAAAACCCAGGCCCCACCCACACCCTATGTATACATGGGGAAGAGCTTCTTACCATTTCAGTCTTAATTTTCTCTCGATATTTGCAGAATATCTGAGGAGATAATAGTGACATTGATCTTATATGACTTGCCAACCTCCAGAGCTGTTGCACACATGCTCACACACTCACACTGACCAGGACACTCAAGCGGAAAAGTATGAACATTGTTCTGGAGTGTGCAGGGCAACCTGGTTCCCAGATACCAACCCTCTATGGTACCGGTAAGAGTTGGCTGAGGGAGGAATTGGCAGAGACCATTGTGCTCTTAGGAGGGGACAGACACAGAGGTGCCTACATCCAGCTGCTCTTCCTCACAGCTGGCCTTGCAGGCCCACAGCACCCCAGGCCCTTTTTCTTTCTTTCTTTTTTGTTTTTAAAATATATTTTATTGATTTTTTACAAAGAGGAAAAGAGAGGGACAGAAAGTTAGAAACATTGATGAAAGAGAATCATCAATCAGCTGCCTCTTGCACACCCCCTACTGGGGATGTGCCCACAACCAAGGTACATGGGTACATGCCCTTGACCGAAATCGAACCCGGGACCTTATAGTTCGCAGGCTGACATTCTATCACTGAGCCAAACCAGTTTCGGCCCCAGGCCCTTTTTCACCCCTAAACTCTTGGCTCAAGCAACGAGGCAGGGAGTGCCCCATAGACTTCCTCATGAGTCTCCACCTTATGGCCCCAATCTGGTCACTGAGCCCTGGATCACTTTATTCCTCACTGATGATTCCACAATCCCTTGGTCACAACCCAAAGCATCCTGGAGCATCAGCTCAACCTGATGGTTAAGGTGCGGGATGGGGCTGAGGGCAATGGTAGGGTGTGGGGAGATTTGAAGGCACCACAAAACGGAAGACTAGACAATGAGGACAATGCCTGAGAGGATTGTTAAGTTCCCAGGAAAGCACTGCCCACCTCCCACCTTCAGGGCGTTAGGATATAAAGGGTCTACTGGGATCGGTGTCTCTTCTTATGAAGAGACCCTCCATTCTCCAGCTCTTCCCCCAAATATGACAGATCCAATTGTTAAAGTAACACTTTCCCCATTGTGACTCATTGTGTCTCAGTCACACACACACACACACACACACACACACACACACACACACACACACACACCTCTCTTCTCATACACACAGAGTTGCCCCCATGATTTCTCTCCCAGACATGAATTTTGGCCCCACAACCAGAACCTGCTACATGAAGTGAAAGGCTGAGCACAAAATGGAACTGTGGGGCCTTTGACAAGAATTATTCAGAATTTTAGTTTGGTGCCAGGGTAGCATCCACCCAACCAGGCCCAGGGCCATCACCATGACCATACCGGTCACATCCTCATGACACCCTGCTTCCAGGGTCTCCCCTGGCTCAGGGGGATGGAACAGAGCTGGGTACATGTAGAGATCAGCTAGAGTGAGGCTGCACTGGTGGGAGAGGGGAACAAATACCAGAGGGAAATGGGAACCCAGGCCCTACTGTCCCCGAATCATATGCTCTCACTCACCTTGGAGTAGCACATGGCTGCTCAGGGTTCAGAAGGCTGTGGCCTGATGGCGAGGAACAGAGGTGAGAAGTGTTTCAGAGGAGCAGCCTCTTCGACAGAATCCCTTTGGCTGCAGCTCCTTTTAAGGCCCCACTGAGCCAATCACCTTCTGCCACATCATTCCAGTACAGAGTTAGCTGAGGTTTCTACACCAGAAGGTCAGCTGATTTCAGAGCAGCAGAGGAGGACTTGGCATGGAAAGGGGGGAGGGTGACCTGCCCTAAAGAGTAAAGTATGGCTGATAGTGGGGGTGGGGTTGGGGATGTGACAAAAATAGAGAATGAGGAAAGACAGGAAGTGGTGGTGGGGTCAAAGGGCTCAGGGAGGGGAGGGCACATCCCTAAATTCTGCTGGTGGCTCCTCCACTCTCTGAATCAGGGAATCTCTGAGACCAGGAATGGGCCTCTTTTTCTTTTTTTAATGTATATATTTTATTGATTTTTTTACAAAGAGGAAGAGAGAGGGATAGAGCGTTAGAAACATCAATGAGAGAATCATTGATCGGCTGCTTCCTGCACGCCCCATCCTGGGGATCAAGTGGGCAACTTGGGCATGTGCCCTTGACAGGAATCAAACCTGGGACTCCTCAGTCCGCAGGCCGATGCTCTATCCACTGAGCCAAACCGGCTAGGGCTGGACAGTTTTCTTTGTGTGTGCTGGTTGTATTGTTTTTTTTACTAAAGCTGACACTTGTACTTAATGAGTGTTAAAATTAACTAGCTATTAGAACTTACTATCTACTACTATACTGATAGTTATCTCTTAATCAGGAATAAAACAAAAAAGTGGAGGAAAATATTTGATCAAAAGAGAGACAATTGGATAAATGTCTACTTGTGACCAGAGTGTCTAGGCCAGCAATTTTTAACCGGTGTGCTGCAAGAATTTTTAAAACATGCAATACCTGACTATTTAGTCATGGGCACTGACCTCTTTTCCCTTAGATTGTCAAATAAAATAAAAAGAATGATAGCATCCAACACAATAGCCGTCTAATGTGAATGGATCAAAATTATACCTATTTTTGGTCAGATGGGCAAAAAAAATGTAATCCTGTGCCACAGGACTTTGGATAAAGAAGATGGAAAATGCCTGGTCTAAAAAAAAGATGAAAGGCACTGTGCAGAAAGGACTGAAGATGAAAAAGGAATTAAATTCACTAACTTGATGATAATGCCAGAGAGGAAGGCAAAATGAAGTCAGCTCTCAATTGATAACAGGGATTGAAAGAAACACATAATTGCAAAAAACAAATCATTCCAAAAAATTAAAATGTCTTTATATTTGCCTTAGATGCTGACTTGAGACTAAAGCAACAGGGTAAAGACGATGGCTTTTGTGGGCATCACATCCTTATCTTCCACGTCGAAGCTCTGGATTAGATTAGGGAAATCAAATGCAAATCTTCCTCTGGTCTTCCCCTCCAGCACCCTGGCAAGCAACAGCCCACGGGATTTCCTCGATGAGACCAAATGGAGCCTGGTGAACCTTCTCTCCACAGCGAAGGGTTTAATATGGATTTCAGAGAGAGAAAGGGAGGGAGAGAGAGATTGAAACATCAATCAACTGCCTCCTACAGCCCCCTACTGAGGATTAAGCCTACAACCTAGGGAATTGAACTGGTGGCCTGCTGCTGCATGGACCAACACTCAACCATTGACCCACACCAACCAGTGGCCAGGCTTTCCTGTATTTTTATTAGAAATCACATGATTTAGCCCGGCCGTCAAACCCTTTTTTGCTCAAACTCAATCCAATTTGCTCTTCTCAGTTTGTTTTTTTCTTTCAATTTCTCTCTTCTCAGTTTTGATATTCATTTCATGTCTTCCTGGAATAGAGTTCTATTTTCGCATAACAGCAGTTGTCAATATAATTTTAAAATGTTTTATTTGGAAATGTTTTACCTTTAAAAAAACCACAAAACACATATACTTTTTATTGATTTCAGAGAGAATGAGCAAGGGAGAAAGAGATAGAAACATCAATGATGAGAGAGAATCACTGACTGACTGTCTCCTTCACGTCCCCTACTGCGGATCAAGCCCACATCTTGGGCCTGTGCCCTGACCGGGAACCGAACAGTGACCTCCTGGTCATAGGTCAATGCTCAACCACTGAGCCATGCCGGCCGGGCTACATCATGTGATTTCTAATAAATAACAGGAAAAGCCTGGCCAATGGTTGGTGTGGGTCAATGGTTGAGTGTTGGTCCATGCACCAGGAGGCCACCATTACAATTCCCTAGGTTGCAGGCTTAATCCTCAGTAGGGGGCTGTAGGAAGCAGCTCATTGATGTTTCAATCTCTCTCTCCCTCTCCCATTCTCTCTCTGAAATCCATATTAAAAAACATTACGCCGAAACCGGTTTGGCTCAATGGATAGAGCGTCGGCTTGGGGACTGAAAGGTCCTGGGTTCGATTCTGGTCAAGGGCGTGTACCTTGGTTGCGGGCATATCCCCAGTGGGGGCTGTGCAGGAGGCAGCTGATGGATGACGTTCTCTCATCGATGTTTCTGACTCTCTATCTCTCTCCCTTCCTCTCTGTACAAAATCAATAAAATATATTTAATAAAATAAAAAATAAAATCAATAAAAATATATTTTAAAAAACACACATTAAAACACACAAACTGCGGGGGGGGAAAATAAAGGAGAGTAATGCAGCCCACCCCAGCACCAAAGCACATACAACTTCCTGCTGTTGTTTGCGGCTTTTCACCCACAAAAATGCTGTGTCTGAGTTTCTGTGGCCACCCCCCCCCCCCACTTGACACATAACTGCTCTTTAACTGCTTTTTGTAGAAAGTTAGAGAACTTATTCACCAGGGCTCAAGGGACTAAGGGAGGTGGGAAGGCTGAGTCTAGCAAAGGTCAGCACTTTGGGGGTTGGGTGGGAAGATTGGGGTATAGAGAGCCAACAGATGTCACACAGCAAATTCAACTCATGGAAAACCCACAGGGGGGGAGATTTCAAAGAGGGGGGATTGGTCAACTAAGAGACTGAGAGGAGCTGGGAGAACCCACAGCATTGAAAGCTATTATTTATTGAGCACCTACTGTATGCCAGGGACTGTGTGGGCTATTGAGGGGAACAAGGACTACAATAGAGGGAGGGAGGCAGCCTCAGGAGAGTGGAAAGGACCTCCCTGACAGAGGGAACAGCATGGGCAAAGGCCCTGAGATGGGAGAGGCTTGGCAGGCAGCTAAAGAATGTTGTCCAGGAGGGGGCTCTGCAGGGACCTACGATGCAGGCAGAGCCTTACTGGCCAGGGTTGGGGTTCATTCACACTGGGTGCACAGGAGATTTTCAGGCCGGGATTATTTCATTTTTTTAACAATGAAATCATATAGAGCTTGGCTACTGGACTGAAATAGCTTAAAAGAGGCAAGACTGGGAAAGAGCTAGATGACCTCAAGGGATTGGTGGGCCACAAAGCTCCTGGTGGCTTTAGCACAGGGCGGCAGTTTTATTCTGTTGGAAGAAATAAGTGGGAGGGCATGAGGAGAGGTCAGAGGTTTGATTCAGGGTCACTTGGGAAATTCAGGGACAGGGTTTGAAAGAACAAGAATGGTGACTGATGCCAGGTCGGTGTGGCTCAGAAGTTGACTCATGAACCAAGAGGTTGCCTGTTCAATTCCCACTTAAGGCACATGCCCAGGTTGCAGGCTCCATCCCCAACAAGAAGTGTGCAAGAGGCAGGTGATCAATGTTTCCTTCTCACGATGTTTCTATCTCACCATTCCTCTCTCTCTAAAACAATCCATAAATCTCTAAAAGAGCCCAGCTGGCAGGCTGGCATGGCTCAATGGTTGAGCATCGACCTATGAAGCAGGAGGTCAAGGTTCGATTCCTGGTCAGGGCACATGCCTGGGTTGTGGGCTGGATCCACAGGAGGGGGTGTGCAGGAGGCAGCCGATCAATAATTCTCTCATCATGGATGTTTTTACCTCTTTCTCTCTCTCCCTTCCTTTCTAAAATCAATAAAAACATATTTAAAAAGAAGAAGAAGAAGAAGAAACATAAAGAAAAGAAAGAAAAAAAAAAGGCTCCTGGGACATGACGTGAGGATATGGCCCAGGTTAAGTGAAGGCTGGTCAGGACCTGCAGTGGGCAGCCCCTGTAGGTGGGGGGATTCAGGCCAGAGACGGGCCTTATAGTGTGAAGGCATGCCAGAGGGGTCCCTGGAAGTGAAGGAGGATAGGATGTGAGCACCAGTGGGGCTCTGCTCAAAGGAACCCTCAGCTGGGGCCTCCTTCCTTAGGAAGGTAGGGGCCAGGCCAAAGGTAAGGAAGATCCTTGCCACTAGTGCCCTCCCCTCCTGGGGCAGGGTCCCTCATGATTATCGGGACTAGCCGGAAGCTACTGAAAGGGTCCGGGTCCAGCCATTGCTCCTCTTGCAGGACTGACAGCTGGCCCTGGTGGGGAGCTCCTTCTAGGAATCAAGATTTCCTTCCTACCGTCCAAAGGGTCTGAAGCTGGCAGAAGAGGGTGCAGGACACTGACCCACAGAAATGTCCCCATCCTGCAGGTCTCCTGGCTCCCAACCCCTCCCCACAACCACCTTGGAGGTTTTGCTCTTCATCAGGCCCACTTCCTCACTTTTCTTCCTGCTTCAGGTCAAAGCCCCACCTTCATCTCATCTCAGCAGCTGCTATTTGCTGCCAATCACCCCTAAGTGCAAAGCTGGTCTTCATGCATCTGCCTGGAGCAGGGAGTCAGGGCTGGGGGGTGGGAGGCATTTGGCCTCACAGATGGTGAGCTGCGCTGGCCCTCTCAGGCCTCAGGCCTTGCTCCAGGCTCCCCCAGTCTCTGCATTTGCAGTGCCAGGTGAGGTGGCCAGCCCAGAGATCAGATGGCTGTCCCCTGCCTACTCTGCCTTCCTTCTAGGCTCACATGGAAGTGCACTCTGCCCGCTCCGTACCGCCACCACTGCCCCAGTCCCTGGGCCTCTGATCTTGGAAGAAACGTGAAGGAGT